TATTATTTATTTAGATATTATACTTTATTAAAGTATTATATGTTTTTATAGTTTATTATAATAATAAATTAAAATACTATCTTTAACTCTAGTCTCTACTCTTAGAGGATATATATAATTACTAATAACTCTTTATTATAAATCTTATAATTTAACTCTATTAGTAATAGTTTCTAGAAGAAGTAGATATATAAATATAGCTACTTATTTAGTCTATATTATAATAAAATAACTCCTATAGCCTATCTTAATATATCTATCTCAATAATAGTTTCCTTATCCTCTTTGAAATATACTAAAATCAGGATATTAATAAAAAGGCTCTTTAATTCTTTAAATACTTATTAGTAATTATTATTCTATATAAATTAAATATCTTTTCTTATTAATTTTGTTAGAGATACTGAAAAGTTAGTGAATTAGAATATAAATAAGTAGTAAAAGTTAGCAAATCTAAGGAAGCTCTATATATCTTATATTAATTTTAATACTTCCTATTCTTAAATAGCTATAACCTTCTTTAGATTAATATAAATTCTCTTATCTATTTATATAATAAATCCTAGATATTTTATAGAATCTTACTTAAACTCTAATTTTCTAATATTATACTATAGGCCTACTTCCTATAGTTTCTATAGTACTTATTCTACTTTCTATTAGTAATCCCCTAGTAATCTACTACTATATATAATAATATTATCTATATATATAGATATAAAATTATTAAGATATTCTTATAGGATCCTATTAATATATCTCTAGAAAGTTACTAGTATACTAATTAGCTTAAATAGAGTAATATTCTATTTATATAGATTATATTATATCTAAAATACTATTTTCTATTCTTCTCCTAGTTAGATATAAATCTTATAGAAAATAATAATAATATCTAGCTTAGAAAACTATTTAGTCTACTCTATATTTCTTAGTATCTCTTTAATTAGTAGTAGTAGATAATAATCCTTTATTATTAATTTATTTAATCTATAGTAATTAATATAAAATTATACTTCTTTACTTAGTTTTCTTACTAGTAGGACTAGAGCTATAGTAAGTAATTTATTTATTTAGATAAAGCTCTTTCTAAGAAGATCTATTAATATCTTTTATAGATATAGGAGCTCTTCTTTATTTATACTATAAAGAGGACTATATAAAGATAGTTCTTTAATACTATTATAGTCTTATTTTAGGATGATTTTATAGTTAATTCTTAGTTAATTTAGAGATAATTTATTAGCTAACTACTAGCTAAAGATATCTAACTACTACTAATAATATCTTAGTAGCTTATTCTTAGGATTATCTTATTTCTTTAGATATAGTACTTTCTTAATATTATTTATTATAACTTTACTAATTTATAGTTAATTTAGCTACTTCTCTCTATAGATAAAGTTATATAGTAATTAGACTATTAACTTCTTAATCTATATTCTTCTTATATTAATTAGTTTAATTATATAGTCTATATAGTTCTAGTACTTTATCTACTCTTTATTTCTTATAAATATATTAATATATCCTTTCTCTACTAAATATTAGCTATTAATATCTTATAGCTAAGAGTCTCCTAATATTATATTATCCTCTTATTAAGAAATAATATATATAAATACTTATTTTTACTAATAGCTATAAATATCTAGATTAAAGTATATAACCTAGATAATTTAGTTCTAATTTAGGACTATCCTATCTAGGATCTATATAAATATCCTAATATATAGAAGGTTAAGTAACTAAACTAATATTTTATTTATAGTTATATAATAATAGTATCTACTATTAACTAGAACTTATATAAATTAGATTTTATTTACTTTAATATTGACTAGAAATAGTAGTATTTCTTATTTTAGTAGTTTTTTAATTTCTTTTTACTTTTATTTATAACTTAGAACTAGAGTTATTTTTTTTCTAAATCTTTATTTAAAGAGAGTTTATTCTTAAAAGCTAATATATTTAACTTATAGTTAGTTATATATCTAGTTTTCTTATCTTTAATCCTATAGGAATATCTTTTTCTTAGTTCTTAGTACTATATAGCTAATAAAGAATACTTTATAATAAAGTAGTTTTATTTACTATAATAAAGATATCTTCTTTTATTCTATTATTTCTCTATCTCTTTATAATTAATCTACTTTACTTATTTATTTATTTTAGATCCTAATTAGTAGTATTTTATATAGAATTTAGCTTAATTAATTATAATAGTTAGGGTCTAATCTATTAAGTCCTAGTACTACTAGATATATATAATATAATCTTTCTAGGATATTAATACTAAGGATATCTATATTAGTATTAATTTTATAAAACTAAGTAATAAAGTCTAAAAATATAATAGGAATACTATAATTTATTAATAAATTTATTATACTTTTATTTAAGGATCCTAATAAGATCTATCTCTTTATTTTATTATATTATTTAAAGATATCTATATTTATAAACTCCTTCTCTAATCTAAGAAGGAATTTTACAAAAGATATATTATTTAACTAGTATATTTAGTAAAGATATCTTATAGTATATATTTTAATATTTAGATCCCTATAAATATCTTTAAGATAATCTAGAATTATCTATAGATCCCTATTATTTTATTATAATTTTATAAAGATTCTAGTATTCTTCTAAATAAGCTTCTTAAGCCTAGAGAATATATATATAAACTAATCTTAGGGTAAGCTAATTACTATATTATTAATATATAGTTTATTCTCTATTATTATATATTATATTAGCTAGTTAACTACTTTTCCCTTAAATAAGATTAGATCTAGTAATTATACTTTTAGGTAATATATAGGTTCTAATTGTAGGGGTTCTAGGATTAATTTAATTATAGTTTATACTAAAGTTAGTTCTCCTATTATTATCGTTAACTATAAGACTAATTACTTTATTATAGTCTCTAGACAATAGATTTATTTATCTTAGGTAATATACTCTTAGTTATATTATTATATTAATTCCTTTTATACTATATATTCTATATTAATTTGCTTATTTTATTTACTCTATATAGCTTATAACTATACTATTTATTATAGTAGTATCTATACCTATAATAGTAGGTTTGTAGACTCCTATATCTTTTATTTAGGGGTTATATCGCCGAATCACTCTTGATTTAGAGACAATTTGTATATAGTTTTAGATTTTTACAATATCTAATTGGAAGCTTTTTATTTATAAAGGGCTAAAGTAGAATTTATATTTAATTGAGCTAGGCTATATACTGTGTATAAAAAGCTTAAAGAGAGAATTACTAAGTAGGTGTTCTATATATTAGGTTGTTATAGTTACGTGTGCTACGTGACCTTATACCGGGCATTGGCCTGTGACAGTAGAATAGATATTATATATCTTTATAATATATATATATAGATAAACTAGAATAAACTATTTCCTATTATAATAGGTATTATTAATAACTATAATATAATATCTATAAGCCTATTACTCTTCTTCTTTATATATAGTTATTATATTAATCCTATTATACTAGAAGAATCTATACTAATAGAGATATAAATACTATCTAAGAAGTCTAGATAAGACTTTATATAATAACTTTAAGATACTATAGAATATATAGATATAATATATCTTAAAGAAGCTTAACTAGCTATATACTTACTATAGGGTTATAGATATACTAATACTATATATAGTATAGTTAGAGGTTCCTACTAGAATATATCCTATCTTGTATATAGATCTAATTCACCCAGCAGTAATAGATCTACTACCCTCTTAGACTATTAATAATATATAACCTCTAGCTATTATAATCAATAGCCAACTAGAGTATAAGATCAAAAAGATTTAGGATATTAGGGAACACTAGGTAGGATAATATATATATATAGAAACGCTTATTAAGTAGACTAGATATACTAAGCTAATATAAGAACCAATCAGTAAAATCAAGGATTACTCGGCGCTTAATAAATATAAGAAGAAATTTAGAAAGGTTATTTCGAAGTTAACGAGTATGATCTATATAGATTTAGTGTATATAAGAAGAGAGGGGGTACTATAACAGGCTGAAGCCCTATAGTGGTTATATAGTACGTAACCAATTGCCCATATTTACGTCTGAATATACATAGAAAGCTTCCTTTTCTTTAAAATTATTGTAAACAGCATGTTGGCCTAGTACAATTAAATCAATTCTACTACAGCCCTTCACAATAACTTACTTAGCTTATAAGTTAGGTAATATTGTCTATTATATATATCTCTAGGTATATCTTATGTTCGACTACTTATAGACTAAGGATTTCAAAAAGATAATATAAAGGATCAATCATATATTTGAAAGTCTACCGAAGAATATCTATAAGGTGTATAAGCGAATTCTCAATAAATCAGAAGACTATCTAATAGTTTGCTAGGCCTTAAGTATTATATATATAGTGAGAGGGCTACTCTCTCTTTCTGAAATAAATATTGTATTAGCTATTAATAATAAAGTGAAGTCTATTCACAACCTCGATCTAGAGGAAGACAAGGACTTCAAGACACGTCTAAGAATATGGTGTGGATTATTTATTTTAGTCTATTATGATAGAATTTATTTTCTTTATTAAACTATTTGAGAGTTTTTGCTTGCTTGTATACTACTACTACTTGCGGTAGTTTCTTTAAAGTTAGTCTGGGAGTAGTCTATCGTTAGCTAAGATGTATATTGACTCCTCGCAGAGATCTGTGTGCTCTACCTAGATTTACTTAACAATGATATATTTCCTCTAGAGGATAGGAGAGAGAGTTATAGGCAGCTTGTTAATAATACTTTCTTAGATTATTTAGTAAAAGAATAGAATAATCATTACTTTAAAGCTTGTATTAGTACTGACAATAATATTATACCTGTTACTTTATATATATACCTACTAGACTCAGGGGCTTGGTCAGCTTGGTTTGAAGTATACTGGAAATCTACGGGGAAGGGTTTGGCCGATAGCTTTACTAGTATTATGATATTGTTCTATTTGGGGCTTGAGGCTGTTGTCGATCTGCTTCTTGAGAAGGGTGTAGACTTTAAGACGAAGGATATAAGATATGGCTGTATACCACTATTATGGGCTATAGAGAATGGACATGAAGCTATTATTAATCTACTTCTTGATAAGGGTGTGGACTTTGAGATAAAGGGTGAATTTGGTAAGATACTACTATTATAGGCTATAGAGAATAGATATAAAGCTATTGTTAGTTTACTTATTGAGAAGGGTGTGGACTTTGAAGTAAAGGATAATAGTAGCTGGATACTACTGTTATGGGTTGTAAAGTATGGACACGAAGCTATTGTCAATCTGCTTCTTGAGAAGGGTGCGGACTTTGAGACGAAGGATAAATTTAGCCGGGTACTACTGTTATACACTACAGGGAATGGATATAAAGCTATTGTCAATCTGCTCCTTGAGAAAGGTATAGACTTTGAGACGAAAGACGAATCTGGCAAGACGCCACTGTCATATACTACGGAGAATGAATATGAAGCTATTGTTAATCTACTTACTGAGAAGGGTGCGGAACCTTTGATAAAGGATACAGAATATACCCTGATTAAATGTTGTTTAGAATAGATCTTTATGTATAAATTACTCTTTCTCTTTTTTCTATATATTGCTAACTTTTTCTTCTGATTCTCAGTAGAAAGCTGGCTTTATGCTTTATTATTGATAGTATGGGCTTGGGCTTTTATAAATTATCTACTTGGATATAATTAAGATTATCGGACTACTAATCTGTGATGGCCTAGAAGTATATCTGAAAAGTGGATAAGTGAGAAGAGTTTATGGAAATTTACTAAGCTCGGGTAGGATATATGAGGTTCTGGGCTTTTTATACATGTTGACCTTGATTTTAGAATGTATATTGTGTAGCACTGTGTTGTGTTCCTGAAAATATTGCCTGTCATGATAAAGTATATCCCACCCTGATTCTTTCTTATTTGACTGTAATACCTGAACTGAATTTAAGATTATACTTATTAAGCTGACCCCGCCCCTATCTGTAAGAGAGCAGTATCTTTATTCTAGGATTTCGACTGCACCCGGGCGGAAAAGGTAACGCAGCCCAGACCAGATTGTAGTGATCGCAACAACGCACCTACCGAGAAGAAGTCAGTACGGGAGGGGAAGGCCACGTCAGCGGTTCAGGCACGTGTAGGATGTTCAGGTGCAAAATAGTGGGCTTCAGGGCATTCAGGTGAAGAGGGCTGAACGGGCTGAAGATTAGGGCGGCAAGAGACAATTTCCCAACGAATCAAAAAAAACGAGTGAGCACAAACATACAACAGTCAGGATTCGCATGTGGTCACCCACCATACTACTAACTGACCGGCGTGTGGCTTAAGTACGGCTGAGCGGACGGGAAGCCCTGTTCTCCACACCCTGTGGTCGTATGTACCAGGCGATCTTACTTACAGGCCTATATAGAGTCTGATAAATGTGATTAATTTGATATCAGGATTTGATACTCTTATGAAGAAAATTAAGTAAGATAAGAAGGATGGATAGTCAGTACTCCAAAGCTCCAAGATCATGTAGCAGTGGTGAGAAAGAACCGGAGGAAAGTGAAACTATTCACTATAAATCAAATTACTCAGGTGTAGATATATAGCTAAGTAGTAGTAATTATTGATATGAAGGGCTAAAGCAGAATTTATGTTTAATTAAGCTAGGCTACAAACTGTGTATAAAAAGCTTAAAGAGAGAATTACTAAGTAGGTGTTTTATATATTAGGTTATTATAGTTATATATATATCACAGTGTGGATCCTTGTACGAGAGGATCCCTGTTCCTGTTATCACGTGACCCCTAAGACTATTAGAACTTCCTATTTCTGTTTGATATAGCTCTTTAAGCTATATCTTAGTTAACCTTCTGTCCTATAGCCTATCTGTAATATAACTACTTCTGATCCTCTATTTACTATATAAGCTAGTCTACTAACTTTTAATATATAACTACTTACTATATCCTAATACTATATAGCTTTTATCCCTATATTAGAAGTTAGACTATCTATTAACTATAGACTAACTATTAGAGCCTATAGAGGCTTCCCTACTACTATTCTTATCTAAAAATTTTAAAATCTATACTAAATACTATAATATAAACCCTAAAGCCTAGTTTATATACTATAAATAAATATATAAGTACTCTAAGAAGGTTAGAAAACTAATCTATCTATACTATTAATAATACTATACTATTTAATAAAAGATTATTTATCTAATCTAGGAAATTATCTAGATTAAAGAAGAACTTATATAAATCTATAATAAACTATCTAAAAAAAATAATATTTTTAAGTACTAAGAAGAAAAACTAATATAAACTTAAGAAAACCTTCTAAAATATATCTATAAACTAGAATCTATTTATTAAAAATATAATTAAGCCCTAATAACTACTATCTTTATTATAAATATTTTTTATATAAGCCTAGTTCCTAAAATATTTACTAAAAGATTATTAGCTTTAGTATTAAGAATATCTCTATTATTTAATTCTTATATTATCTATTTCTCTATTCTTTTTAAATATCTTCTAGATCTTTATATATTTAGTAGAGATTATAAAAACCTTTACTAATTTATATCTTAGATTTAAAAAAAGTTAATTATAAATCTTAATTAATTTCTAATCCTAATAAACTAAATATTATATATAATAAGTTAACTTAAAGGAATCTTATATATTTAGATCTTATTATATATTTAGAATAGAAGTTATATTTTATCTAACTATAGAAAAATCCTAAATATTCTTAAAAATATTTTTAATAATCCTAATTATATAAATAATATCTAAGATAAACTCTTCTAATTCTAATAAATTAATAAGAAATTTAGCTAGTTTTTTATTAAATTCTAATATCTTATATTTAAAGAAGAGATACTTAAGAAAACCTTATTTATACTATTAGAATAAATTATTAACTAAGAACTCTATAGAATACTTCTCTATAATAAGCCCTTAATCTATAAATATTACTAGTTTATAGCTTTCCTCTAGAAGCTTAAAAACTAATATATATATTATAATAGAATAATCTAATTCTCTACTATATAACTAGTATTAATATAGATATAAGTTTATAACTTACTTCTTATTTGGAATAACTACCTAGACTTCTATATAATAAGAAATAATTCTCTTATTTTAATATTTATATTTACTTCTAATCCTATAGATCTAACTTTAAACTACCTAACTTACTAAGACTATAATAAATATTTTTACTATAGAGTTAAAGACTATTTTATATAAGATTATCTATATCTTAATTAATACTCTATATAAATATACTCTATCTATATAAAAAGATTTATTTCCCTAGAATATTAGTATACTATCTTATTAGAATAATATCCCTAATCCTTACTATCTAGTTACTTCTTATATAATAAACTACTAAAAGAAATAAGCTTAGTCTAAACTATAACTAGATTAATATAATCTATATAATCTATCTATTTACTACTATTATTTAAAGAACTACTATTAATAAAGAAATCTAATACTCTAATCTAATTATATTACTAATTACCCTAAACCAGAATAAAAAAGAAATTCTAATATATATAATAATTAATAATAGTACTAAAGAAGAGTATTTTATTAATATTAATTAGGCTAAAGAATATAGCCTTATATAAAAATCCTTAAAGAATCTAATCTAATTAGAAGACTTTAATAACTAAGAATCTAAGAGTAGATAGATAATCTACTTTATATAAATAAAAATAACTACTAATAAATACTAAAAAAAAGCTAAGTTCTTAGTTATTTAACTTATATATTATCTAATTATCCTTAGATTATCTTAGCTTAAGATCTATAACCTAAAAATCTAGTTTACTACTTATATAATTAAGTTTAATAGTATATATTACTAGAAGAACTATAATACTATTATATAAAACTTAAAGATCTATACTATATATAAAATTCCTCTAAAAGCCTATCTCTATAATTAACTAGATTAATCTACTTACCTAAGATCCTAAAATATTAAAGCTATAAGTTTAAATACCTATATAATATATACTAAAAGCTAAAAGGGCTACTAACTCTTTACTATAATAATTAAAGATATTAAAGCTACTCTAAATAAGAAATCTAAAGAAAAAAACCCTACTAATTATCTACTTACTAAATTTTAAGACTATATTAATATATTCTCTCTAAAAGAAACTAATAAACTATCTCTATATTATTTATATAACTATAATATATAGCTAATAGAAGATAAGATATTACTATTTAGACCTCTCTATACTATATTTTATATAAAGCTTATTATCTTAAAGAACTAGATTATAAAGAATTTAAAGAAAGGGTTTATTTATCTAAGTTTATCTTTTATTATCTTATTTATACTATTTATCTATAAATCTAATAATAGTCTATAATTCTATATAAACTATTATATTCTAAATATAGTTATAGTTAAAGACTATTACTTATTATTCTTAATAAAAGAGACTTTAAATAATCTAAAAGAAATAAAATTCTTTATAAGAGTTAATATTATATTAATATTTAATAATCTTTATATAAAGACTAAGTAAGAATATCTTATAGTATTTTATATAAGACTTAGACTCTTTAAATCTTTTATAATACTATTTAGATTTATTAGAGTCTCTATAATCTTCTAAAGGTTTATTAATAACTCCTTTTATAACTATCTAGATCTATTCTATACTATATATTTAGATAATATCTTAATCTATAATTATATAAGAGCTAAGTATATTAAATATATATAAAAAGTCCTATAATAACTTTATAAAACTAACTTATTTATAAAACTATTTAAATATAAATTCTATATATATAAAATAAAGTTCTTAGGAATTATTATTAGATAAGATAGTTTTTATATAGATTTAGAAAAGATTTATATAATTACTAAGTAAAAGATCTTAATCTATTTTACTAATATATAAGCTTTCCTAGGATTTATAAACTTTTACTAATAGTTTATTTAAGATTTTTTAAAACTAACTATATAATTAGTCTATCTAACTAAAAAAAATATTACTTTTATCTAGAATCTTATCTACTAGAAAATATTTAAGATATTAAAGTTTATTTTTATATCTACTTCTATCTTAGTCTTTTTTAATTAAATAAAAAATATAATATTTAAAACTAATACTTCTAACTATATCTCTATTAAAATAATCTTATAGTATAATAACTAGAATATTCTTTATCTTATTATATTTTTCTCTAAGAAATACTTTATAATAAAGTATAATTATAAAATCTATAATAAAGAACTACTTATAATTATATAATATTTTAAAGAATAATACTTAGAGTTAAAGAGAATAAACTTTTTAATCTCTATAATTACTAACTATTAAAACCTAAAGTACTTTATAATAATAAAGTTTTTAAACTAATAATAAGTCTAATAGTCTAAGTTTCTATTCTAATTTAATTTTAAGATTATTTATTATCTTAGATAATAAGATATTAAGCCTAATACTCTAATTAAGAGATTAGAAGATCTTTTTAAAGAAGGAGATAAATAACTTTAATATTAAAGTTATATAAT